GGGGGTACAAGTGATCCTCTTAGTCATTTTATGTCACAAAAATGTACATTCTCAGGCGATACCTTGTTAACCCTTCAACTCCCAAGATCAGATTTTTAATTCTCCCGTCTAGCTGCTACATATTTGCTCGTAAACTATTTTACGAGAATTTGGTGCTAGATCTATACAACAACTTCTACCTGAACATTTGCTTATTCTCTTTAACTGTCTGCTGGGTGGTGTATGGTTTATTACTTCTGGGTGTTCAAGGGTTAAAGCTAACTGCGTTATATTCATTAGCTGGGTGAAGGCTTATCCCCGAGTATCGAAGTCACAGATGGCGCGCCCCCAGTCAAGGCTAAAAAAGGCCGTAAAAGCAAAAGCTCGCTGGTCCCACCTGCACCTGAAGGGTCCATGTCGGGATCTAAACCCGCCTCGGAGACCAGCAGTATCACGGGAGAAGGGCTTAGTATTAAGACAGGTGAAGCGTATGATGGCGACGGTACCGTGGGTGATGATATCAGTGTGCTGAGTCTGGATGAAGGTAAGTTGTCATTCATATGTTCAATTTCGCATTCAAAGAACGTACCTGGGAAACTTGGGTGGGTTCGTTCTGAAGAGAATGCTTTATGAATGGCTGACTAGGAATCCGAAAGTCGCCGTGAAAGGTACGCCTTAACTATCAGACACATGAACTGTCAATTTTGACAAATACCATCAAGTAGTGATTCTTTACGTTACAGACATTCTTTACGTTACAGATAAAGGGGTGAAATAACTTCGTTCAAATCTCTTTGCTCTCTGATCGTAAAACTATCCTTTAGTCTTTGTTTTTTCTTCAATGACACCTTTTTTGGAAGACAAGTAATTTGGACTTCGTAACGTTTGACCATCTTGATATGGCGTAGATAACAAAACGCGTTCTCAACCTCATCATTTTGTTGCTAGTGTCGCTGGCTTCTGGTGATCTCTCAGTTGATATACCTCCATGCAACACTGATACACCCCTGAGCTTGAAACCTGAAGGAGACGACTTGGATGATCCCCGAAGCGAAAACGCCAGTCCAGCCCTTTCAGATTCCTCTGGTAAACGAGGCAGAGGTCGTGGTCGTGGAAGAGGAAGGGGACGAGGAATTTCCTCTAGTAGGGGACGCGGGGGCTCCAACGTTCGAGGATCACGCAGTCGGGGACGTGGGCGAGGAACTGGCGGCGCCCTTGCTGCCTCTGCTGCGGCATCAGCAGCTGCAGCGGCCGCGTCAGCTGCAGCATACGCGGCCTACGGCTTCTCTTTCCAAGGGACAACTACTCCGAATCCCACTCCACCGCCGGCGCGATCGAGTCCGGTGGCATTTGGTGCAGGTGGTTCTGTCATGCAGGGATATGGCAACATTAGTCATCCAGTGGCACGTTATGATAGTTCGTCGGCTGGGTATTCACCCGTCCAAAGTGCAGAAAACAGCCCAGCCAGATCATCATCTCACGCGTCCACGCGCATTAACAGTCAGCAGTCCTCGCCTCCTTCATGAAAGATGGCGTGTTCTGTGCTTAAAATTTGAATTGCTTTTAAACGTGAACTGTATTAAATGGAAGTGAGTAAGGAAGTGCAATGTATTGCCAAGTCGGTCGAGTTACGCTGCCAAACAGTCTAGCTACTGGAAAAGTCTTTAAGAGTAAATGCATTGCTTTCCTTCGTGGAATTTTCATGGTTGCATTGCATGTCAGTACAAAAATGTTATCACGTGCGCTGTTTTTCGTGGTCTGGAAAGAACTTAGTATGGTGTAAATAGTTAATTTTGGGAATGGTAAGGCATCCTGATGTCTATCCACTTGTTTTAATTATTGGTGCACCGAGAAAGTTCAATAGGGTCTCGTAATTTGTAAACATAAACGACTTTTAACTCAGCTATCAATTATACTATTGTAGCCTGATTAGCTCTGTATCACGCAATGCTTGAAACGTCCCGTGACATCGTAGGATGACGGTTGTGTGACATTCTTGGCGTGAATAAAAATCCTCAGACTAATGGGTCTTGATTTTTCTTTCTTTTACATATATATATCTTTAAGGGGAAAGCAAGAATAAATTTATTAAACTGTGTTGTGCACTACTTAGCTAAGTTCCTGGTTTAGCGATGGTCGTCTCGGAAACTCGTTTGAAAATGCCACCCGCTGACAGTTACCACGCTTGCCCAATTGTGAAACCCAATTGAGCTGGCAAAGCAAGGGTCTCCTTTTTTGTGCTTAGTCCAGCGGAAGCAAGTAGGAAGCTTGAGTATCGCGCGTGAATTTTCACTCTCTCCTCGCGTTTGCTTCTAATCTGGAAAACGTAGAGAACGGCACTCCTGCTGGCTATCCAGATTTTTTTTCAGTGAAGCAAAACAGAAGATCCAACTATAGTTTCGAGAAATACGGTCGAAAAGTGCCCCCTGGAAGCTTTAGTTGCCCTTGCTCAGCTAAATAGCCCATTTCCGAATTACCCTTGGCCTCATTTTCAAAACGACTCCTGGTGCACATCCTTTGATACGATTATAAGTTTTCATTCACATGCAAATTAAACTCATTTTCACAAGAATGGTTGAGCACCAGGCCTCGTTTTGACAAAGAGGCCAAGGGTAATTTGGAAATGGGCTATTAGACATTACTTTATTAGCCCGTTGCAGGCGTTCAGTTCAAAAAAGGAACGAAATAGTGAACGGGGCTATAGTACTGGTAGAGCGAAAACGAGGGAGGTTTGGGTCGGGTCGAACATCACGCATCCTAACCTAAGCCTCCGCGCCTTTTCACTCCTCAACCACCATCTCGCCGTCTGCCATTGCGCTTTGGTTTACGTACTGAATGCCTGGAACAGGATAAGCATAAAAAATATAGGAAAATTGCATGAAGATGTTCTGCCCAGTAAGGTCCTACTAAAGATAATGCATCCTCCCCCCTCTCCCTGCCAACGACGAAAGAAAGAGACTGGTGCAAACGTATTCACCGCATTTGTTTAATCAAAAAATCGGTTTCTTTTTTTTTTTTAACGCAACCTGTAATTCATCACTTTTACACATTTACAAAATACCTAACCTTTTCACAACGCCAAATGTATCCAAACCGTGCGCTAGTTTGACACTGTCCTTCGGACCTCCGAAGAGAAAGTTAATTATTGGCATGCAATTTTTCTAAGGTAGCACAGTCGTTTTAACATACACCTCAGGCCCTTCCAACTTATGTGGTCTATTTTGACGAAAGACTTAAACTTTAACATAAAGATGAGAATTTGTGAAACAAAGTTGAAGTAGTTCAACATAGGGCTCGGCACAACTTTGGCTATTTGCATTAAATAAATATAACATCCTTGTTTTCAAGTGTTCATCGATCAAATAATTATCTTCATTAAGATATACGCGAAGATATAAATAACCTTTTATATGCCCTCTGCTAATCCCAAACAATTTCTTCCCCTGAAATAAATCATATTAAAATTGAAATAGTTCTAAAGTGAAGTAATTCGACATTGATACAAAGTCATTCGACGTTGTGGACGTCATTTACAAAGTGGTTTTCCTCTTTTCTTTGCAATAGATAACGATTGCGGTTGCTTCTAGTCAATATTTCATAAAATTATCGATTCTTTCATAAGGTAATGTCCTATTCACAACCAATGTCCTATTCACAACCACCGCCCATTGTTTTCATTTCATCCACGACTGATCAAGTTGTGTTTTAGCTGAGGCCAAGGCGTGGAAACATCAGTGGGGAGTCCTAACTCTTTCTTAACTAATTTCTCCAAATCAAACAAGTGCTGTTCGTCATAATCTGGCACTTTTTCCCTCATGAAATCCGCTAAACGAACAAGGTATTCTACATTCAGGCCAGAATTCCCCTTTGCAGAGGCAATTTGTAAGGCGATCTGCCCTGGCGAGGCTGGTCCAAGATACAGAGTGTTTTTCGGAGTCGCAACATACGCCAGCACGTTAAATCTGTGTGAGGGTTTCTCGTTGCAACTGAACGATAAATGATGAAGATCATAGCCGCCGAGAGCTATCTCGCGTTCGTTGAGTTTTCCCAAGGCAAGATTTGCGTTTACACTCGCTACCTTGTATGCGATCCCCCACACGCGGCCCTGTAGAGAAAAGGAAAAACGGAAAAATTTAACACAGACGAGTGTTGCCTAGTATCAACGTTCATTTTCAAATGAACTCAACGTCATTCAAATACTGCAAGAAATAAGATTCATCCATTTTAAGGAAAAAAGACACATTTTGGCGACAAACTTTGCACCATTCATTTACTGTCTTTCACTTTCTTGTAAATGATTTGATTGGTTACTTAAGCCTTCCAATTTGATTAGTTGTTTTGTCTTGTATCCTCATTGGCTTAGAAAAACATGCGATTTAGAGCAAAAGATAATGCAATTTGTGACTTAAAGCGCACTGCCAATCGGATTGCAAGGATTACCAGTGATTTCAAGATGAAAGTCAGACCCAATTACACATCTAAGTTACTTGGACAACGACACGCGGCACAACTGGAATAATTTTGGTTTCTTTCGTCGATTGAAAGCTTTCTGTATTCTCATTCTTCAGATAGGAGACATTTTCTACGATCAAATCACGAAAATAAACGACCTCATTCGGATACTTCTTAATGTTGTTCACGCGAAAAAGAACTTGCTTCTGCATGAATATAGAAAGGCGGTCACTTGCCAGTCACCAGAGCAAAGCAGAGCAGAACACGACAAGTTCTCGTGTACAGAATATCTTTTTAGTTTCTTGGATCGTGTGCACGGTTGTAGAGACTACCCCTAACACATGCAGCTGCTACTTGGACTCTGGAGCGTATTTGGCAAAAAAAAAACAAACAAACAAACAAACAAACAAAAAACGAAGTTTATACGTAGAATGACATTTTTCATTATTCCAATGGCCGAGCACTAAATTCTTCACCTTCCTGACTCTTTCCCCGCACATGACCAGTCTCGTGCCACAAGCTCTTGCGTAACGAGTTCCTTTGCCACAAGCGCTCTACGACCAAACAAGTTTTCCTACCACTAGTCAACGAAAAAGTGTTCGCTATTTACTTAAGGAAAGGAATTTTTTAACGACACCTGTGCAAGAAAACTTGCCAGAGTCAAAATCCTCCAAACTGTTCACAATTTCGATTAACAAGTAGTTTTTTTTTAGTTACCGTTCGCTAGTCGAGTTCATCCCTTTTGAGTTTTACTGACACATCTCCCACTCTCCTGATTTATTTATACATTTAAGACAAAAATCCAGCATGACAGGTTATGAGCAGGGAGAGAAGTCGAGGAAAAATGTCATATTCTTTGACTCACGCTGTAAAAAAAAATCTGCTCAGGGATGATTTGCCGAGGAACTTTTGCGGCTGGGACATTACATGTAACAACGAAATTCGCCAAAAATACCAAAGTGGTGGACCAACGTGTAAAAAACATCCGTTTTGGCTGTAATAAAAATATTCCCCGAGACCTCAAGAGGCGGAGACACATTTGCATTACAAAGCAAGCTTTTCAAAGTTCATTCTGTAAATTTTTCATAAAGACAGCAAGACAAACATTGGTGTAGGTTATCGACTTTTACTTTGCCTTTTCTCTTGAGCACAAAAGAGCAAAAGAAAGCTGTTTTAAAATTTAGTTTAATTCAAAAGAGACACGACAAACGACAAAAAATAAAGATTTTCCATAGTGGACTTAATTAAAACATCCACATTCGGGTCTCGATCTGCTTGCACCCACGCTGATACAAAGCTAATAGTATCGGTGTTGTGGCATGGCACTTCCTCGAGTTCGCAATTTTTCAACGGAAGTTTCCATCATAAGGAAAACGAAAAGATTTGATATAGTAAATTCATCGTCGTTTCACGTAAAGACGCTTGTAAGCACATTAGAATCCAAGTTTGTTTACGATCTCCGTACCAACGAACCATAGCCTCGTTTCGCGGCAAACAAACGAACAAAATAATTTCTTTCGGATCAAATACTATCCTGGTGTAATAAGATGAAATTGTAGCTTCCTCGCATCTGAAGGGATTGCAGTCTCTCACGTATGAAAATTATAGACTGCACTGTTCCAAAGAAATTTTGCTACATTATTGTCGTATGTTTTGTCTGACATCCAAACTGTAAGTCTAAAGTGACAGCGTCACTGAAAAAAATCTATAAATTTTACATTGTACAGCTTCATTAACGCCAAGCCGGTTGAAAGAATTACGGAAGAGCAAATCATTTTTATTGCCATAAAAAATATATCGATTACTTGGATGTTAAATCACTCCTTTCTTTGTGCCCCGCGATGGTATTTGTCAATCCTACCTAATCAAAACAACTTTGTGCAATGAAGTTTTACGATCATTCACGCAGTGTGGATAAAACATACCTGTTTTTCCTCAACCAAGGTTACCACTCTCCCTGGCTGAAAACAAAAATAACGCGATGTGAGACTCTCCTTGATGATTTCGAACCGGTGTAAAATAAAATACTCTCTACCTTTTCCGAATCCCCACGATGCCAAGTGCTTCCCTGATAAAATCGCCGAACAAATCCATCGATATGCCCAACAGCACAATATTCGAAAGGAAAATCGGGTTTCCAAATCAAAGAACCGTAGCCAAAAATCCATAAACTTCTTGAAGCATCGTCTTTACTACTTGATTGAGAATTGACTTTCTCAAGCATGATTCTGAGTTAGGGTAATAAAAAGATTCATAGATCACAGAAAGAGAGAAAAATGTGAAGTCCTTCGCTGGAGAAACCGGTTTAATTCTCCCTTCACGATCCTCTGTTTACATCAGCCCTGCAAGTCGCACGTGCCTCTGTGACGCTCAACGCCAATCAACAGTTACGTAAACGAAATTTGCGCATTTTGATTGGAAGATTGGGAAAAACCCAAGCAGCTTACGCAATACCGGAAAAAAGAAGTCACGCCACTGTCACATGGAAAACTTTCAAAACATGTCTAGTAACTACACATGAAAAACATTCTACCTCATTGGTTCGCGAACAGAATTGAAAAACTTTCCTTCGAATGAGAAAATGCTGAGTTTTTTTTAAAACTAACCATAGTGGAATCAAATCTACTCGCTCCTCGTTTTTGTTTTGTCACGCAATCATGTTTTCGCCCAACGTGCTGATGTAAGTTCCCCACACACGCTATTGTGTGGTGGCCCGTCATTATCGCACCTTTTTTTAACCTAAAAATAGAAATCAACTTCTTTTTCCATTAAAAGGGTCAATGCTACTCACGTTTCATATCAATTTAACGTTTAATTCTCATAATTTTTTTCGATTGTTTTACATAGAATTTTAAAGAGTGTGTCTTTAAAAAAAAACTCACACACTTGAACGGACACGCGAGTGGGGTGAATTTGCTGGGCCAATCAGAGGAAAAAGTGAAGAATGACTTTTGAACCTCGACTGACAACTGCTGTAACAGGTTATTTGCAAAAGTTCATCAAATGACGTTTTCAATAGCAAAACGATTCAGCCAGCGACAACCTATAATTTACCGGGAAAAGAAAAAAAAAAAAAAAAAATCGGAATAATACGCTCCAGTCTACATTTCTTAAATCACTGACCATTTGAAAAGAAGCTTTTGTAGAAACTACACATGTTGACACGACACACCGGTCATCGCATGACTTTTTCATGAGCAAAATGATTCAGCCAGTGACAATATATAGTTTGCCAGACAATTTAAGATAAACATTTGAATACTCTCCACTCTGCATTTCTGAGATTCTACAATTTAAAAAGAAGCTTTTGTAGACACTACACATGTTGACATTAAACACCAGTCACAACCACATACAAATCATCATTGTTACCCAAGTTTTGAAACCTTCATTTGATGTGCGGCCTACAACTGCCGTACGTTCTGGGTCAAGTGTCACTTTGAGCTAATTTCCATATGATCTCCATGCACGTAGGGTCAGCATAAAATCCTGTTTTATGGTTTATGTCTATGTTAACATGGGCATCAATACTCTCTTGGTGTATTTAAATGAGGCGAAAAGAGAAACTTTCACCACCCACTAAAAAGGAAAAACTGCTGCTGTGGATGCTTCTTGCTACTTCACAAGGCTTTGACAACAAGTATCTTGTGAACTGGTCAATCCAAAAGGTACATTTAAGCAACTGAATGCAAATTAGTTTCACCAATTAAACCTCCTTCAGGCCTTCCAAACCCATTTCCATCCCAGCATATTTCACCTCTAATAACAATAGGAATCTAACAGATTTTTGCAACTATCTCACCAGACAGCAATAACCTCCTGCTTCCAGACAAAAATACTAAGTTCTCAAGTTTTCAGATGATCAAACACTCAATTTTCACTAGATTTCGTCAAAGTATTTACATCTTGACTATGAAAAGCATGATCTTTTGATTTCCTAAATTCATGCAATTCCAGTATAAATTGAGTTTACCAATCCCTTGGTAACATGACTACCTATCACAAAAGGCCCAACTAGTCCAGGGCTCAACACTAACTTTCCAACTTACTAAGTGACAACTTAAATGTACAACAATTTCAGTTTGTTTACTAGCTAAACTGGCTAATGGAAATCGAAAACCACTCGCCAAAAAACTGAATTTCTACAAGTCTGTGGCTAGTTGGCTACTGTTAGGGTCAAGCCCTGTAACCCTTTGACCCCCAAGAGGTACTGACATGTAATTCTTCCTCACAATATCATCCCTCAATCAAACATTTAAAGGCCACAACAATAAGGGAAATGACAACCAACTAAAGAAACTTTTGATCGTTAAACAAATTCTCCTTGTCAGAGTGTAGAGAACAGTATCTTGAGAAAATGCAAACTGATGCTACAGTTTTTCTGAGAAGGAGGTGAATGCCATACCAACAGTTGAGAGTTACTAAGTAAAAGAAAAAAAAGGGAGTGATCCAATAAAAGGCATTTCAATTGAGAACAGTATGGAGAGTATCCATATTGACATTACAGTGTAAAGGGTTACTTCCTTCTCCCTGTAGCTACCAGTTTGCCTATAAAGGTTGTTTAGCTCATTTACTAGCACTCAAATGTGTTCGATGAGTTAACTTGGTCAAACAT